GCGCTCTGTGACTTCAATTGTCAGGCTGGTCTGGTCGCCGTAAGTTTCAGCGTGAACTCTGTGGCCTGAATCAAGAATCACCTATAAAAGACAAAACTGAATATAGAACAGCTGAAAAAGTTTGGTAAATATCTAGGATTTTGACAGTTTAAGCTCTGGATAATCCTGACTATTTCAGGTTAGCTATTTTACTATGTTTCTTAAACTCTGTTTTTAACCCAAAAGGCATCTAAATTTAGTCAAAACAAAGATGTTTTGGCTAGGTCAGTGACATGCCTGGATTATCAAACCAAAATGTCAAAAAAACAAGCAAGGGGCTCACCCTTTCTCCTTTCATCCACACCACTCTAGGCGCTGGTTCTCCACTGATGGGGATCTCTAATCGGAGTTTGTTTCCAGCCACAACTGTGACGGTGTTGTCTGGGAAGTTCAAGCTTTCTAGATGTACTCTTGGAGGATCTGCAGAATTGTAGGCGATTACCATTGTTAGATCATAGCACAACTAATAACTCAGAAGACATGAAGTGTTCAGTTTATGTACCAATGATGTGGATTTTGGCAGACAGGCTTTGTGAGTATCCTTCAGGCACAAAAGTGTAATCTCCTGCATCATGAAGGGAACTTGTCTCAATTTCCAGTCGGTGAATTCTTAAAAATAAAAAAGGTATTTGGTAGTGTAAACATGTTGGACTCCAGCCTGGAAAAAGCTAGACAAGAAATGACTTTGATTGAAGTATTTTTCAGTTCTCTGAAAGAAAGTATAGAATATTTTCTGTATTTTGAGTTTATGCTTCATTTCTGGTTCTACGCAGGTGGTACAAAGGTAATGTTTTTCATTTAGACTTTAAAATAGCTTCAAACTTTCAGCTTGGACAAGCGTGGCATTTTAAAGGGAACCCTGGAAGGCTTACTTAGCCCTGTGTATAATGTTGAGACGATCACTTGGCTGGATCAGCTGTCCATTCCTGTACCAACGACCTGGGACATTTCCTGGGAAGATTTCACAGTGTAGCTTTATGGGTTGCCCCAGCATCACTGTCATATCCTGCAGATCCTGAAACACCTTCAGGGGTTTTACTAGAGAAAAGTACAAAGTTAGAATATTTTTTACCAAACGTCTTACCATTGACAGAATAAAAGAAGAAAAAACCTACAGTCTACTTGAACATGAGCCTCTGAAGTGCCACCACTGGCCATGACAGAATATGTTCCAGTGTCTTCTTTGGAGGCATCATCAATGACTAAGTAATGTTTGGTTCCTTCACACTTCACTCGGTACCTTGAGCGAACTCCTGTTGGGACTTCAACGCCGTTTTTCATCCTGCCAGAAAATTTTATCGTCAGTTTTCTCCAAAGAAAGACGATAACACGAAGAAAGTATGTCTTACACTTCTGAGTTCTTGATTCTCCAATGGCAAAAAATACTCTTGATAAGGATGAAAATCAAATATTTCCTTACCATTTAACTTGAGCGCCTTCCTCTGACACCTCACACTCCAGCTCAATCCTTTCGTTCACTGTAGTCTTCACAGGCTCAATACCTTTAACAATCTTTATTGGTAGCTCTGAAAGGAAACAGGCGAAGATGAAACTGAAATAGGGTTTTTGCATGCGTATATATAAAAAATGAAAGACATTTTCTTGATACCTTTGACAAAAAGTTCTGTGGTACATTTCTCTTCTCCTGCAACCACAGAATAGGCTGCATCATCATTAGAGGAACAGTTGTTAATGACCATAATCCTTTGCGTCCCCTTATGTTCAAAAATATACCTGAATGAAAAGCCAAGAACTTACATTACTGACTTTCTAAAAAAGCAACTTATAAATACGTACATAATCCTTCACTATACATTTAATTGAAATTAATAAATTATCATATCCTAAAGCCAGAAAACCTAAAAAATCTTGAAGTAATGAAATGTAAATAAGTCACATTTGGCCTTTCCAATGTTTTTAAAGACAAATAAATTTAAAGCTCCTTTCCTGAAGCAAGAAAGTCATATCAGTTATCACACTACATAAGTAATGCAATATGAATAATGGATGATGCTGGAGCATAATCACACCATTTGAAACTCTTCCATGGTAATCCAAGAATGGATGTTTTCTGGACATTAATAACTTTTGAATTAAAAAAATGTTGAATGTGTTGGACCACATATTGGTAACACACTCTTTGATCAAAGAGAAAAATATTGCCATCAAAGAAATTTAAATTTTGATCAATGCATTTAGCATTTCCCTTTCATCTAAGCATTCTTCCTTTTGATCATAGCATGTTTGTTTTTGATCAAAACAATTTTGTCTTTAATCAAAGAAAAAAAATGGTATCATCATAGAAATTTAAATTTTCATCAAAGCATTTAGCCTTTCTCTTTGATCTTAGCATTTTTCCCTTTGACCCTAGCATGTTTGTCTTTGATCAATGAAATTTTGTCTCTGATCAAAGAATAAAATATTGACATTAAAGAAATTGTATTTTTTATCAAAGCTTTTAGCCTTTCCCTTAGTACTTAGCATGTTTCCGTTTGACAATAGCATGTTTGTTTGATCAAACCAATTGTGTCTTTGATCAAAGAAAAAAATATTACAATCAAAGAAATTTTAATTTTGATCAAAGCATTTGCCTTATCCTTTGACCATGACTTGTTGGTCTTAGATCAGCGCAATTTTGTCTTTGATGATAAGATTTTTTTTCTTTGATCAAAGAAATTTTGTATTGATCAAAGACAAAAATCTTATTATCAAAGAAATTGTAATTTTGATCAAAGCATTTAGCCTTCCCCTCTGATCATAACATTTTTCCCTTTGACCTTAACATGTTTGTCTTTGATCAAAACAATTTTGTCTTTAATCAAAGAGAAAAATATTGCCATCAAAGAAATTTAAATTTTGATCAAAGCATTTAGCATTTCCCTTTCATCTTAGCATTCTTCCGTTTGATCATAGCATGTTTGTCTTTGATCAAAACAGTTTTGTCTTTGATCAAAGAAAAAATTGTATCATCAAAGCATTTTATTTTGCTATTTAGCTTTTCCCTTTGATCTTAGCATTTTTGTCTCTGATCAATGCAATTTTTTCTTTGATGATAAGATTTTTGTCTTTAATCAAAGCAATTTTGTCCTTGATCAAAGACAAAAATCTTATCATCAAAGCAATGTTATTTTTTATCATAGCATGTACCATTTTCCTTTGACCTTAGCATTTTTTATTTCATCATAGCATGTTTGTCTTAGATCAAAACAACCAAACCAATTTTGTCTTTGATCAAAGAAAAAAATATTACCATCAAAGAAATTTTAATTTTGATAAAAACATTTGCCTTTCCCTTTGACCATGACTTGTTGGTCTTTGATCAGTGCAATTTTGTCTTTGATGATAAGATTTTTTTTTCTTTGATCAAAGAAATTTTGTATTGATCAAAGACAAAAACACTTTAATCAAATACAAAAAATCTTATTGTCAAAGACAAAAATGCTTTGATCAAAGACAAAAATTATATAATCAAAGGGAAAATTGCTATATTCAAAGGGAAAGGCTAAAGGCTATATGATAAAGAACAAAGACAAAATCTTATCATCAAAGACAAAATTGCTTTGGTTGTTTTAATCTAAGACAAACATGCTATGATGAAATAAAAAATGCAAAAAAAAAAGACAGTTTTGTCTTTGATCATTAAATTTTTGTCTTTGACCATACTATTTGCACTCATCTATATGTTGCCAGGATATTTGTGTTTTAAAGTACTGTTTTTAATAACTCTTAAATCCCTCCATATGTGATATCGGCTTGTTAAGTCTCCAAGCCACATACTGCTATTGTCACCTGGATCAACCTCTGCTCAACATACAGGACAAAAGCATTCTACTGTATTTGAAGCTGCCTTGTTCTTGCATTTATCATATTTCTTCACTTGTGATATTGATTTAAATGTGAGAAACAAACCTCAACACAACTTGTAAAATATAATTATACATGACCTTCATTTAATTGAGGCCTGTTGAATCTGAACATCTATCTATATAATAAAAGAAACATTAAAAAATAAGGGTACATTTTTATACTTTATACGTTTCCTGGCAAAACAAAGGGGTGAGACTACACACAGAGGCATCAGACTCACTGCAAAATAACATGACATGAAGTATGTGAATTGACAAGACGGACAGACTTACTTCCTTTGACTAAAAGTCATCGTTGTAGCCAGAATAGGGCCGGATCACAAGAAGTAATTATGATGGTAGGGAGCACCAACGTATGACAGACGAAGGTATGACAGGTGAAGGGGTGGAGAATATGGTTGGTGACAGTATTAAAACAAACAAAAAAGAGGACAGAAATGAAGATTTTTATAGAAAAGTCTTCAGAACAGGGGGCTCCTGGAGAAAATGGCAGAGGAGGTCAAAACCAGAAAACAGCAATATCCTCCCAGATGGCTTTAACTTCAAATGGCTTTGAACAGAATTTTTGGGTAGTTAAATCAAATTTAGTTCTATTTTATGTATTTTTTTTTTATTGTTTTTTTTTTTTTTTTACTATTTATATTTGGTAACACCATTAGGCTAGATTAAAATTCAAAAATATTTTATTGATCCATCAGGAAATCAAATAATGGAAGCTAATTTACCATTTAGCTTAAGGAGTGAAGTTTATTTGATTAAAATATCAGTACCGCAGATTTGAACATTACATTATATGGTTAATCTCATTACTTTGTGAAGTAATGACAGAGGCAAGTTCTACACCCCATAACTACAGCTTGGAGAATCCTAAAAATGAGTCAAATCAACGCTCCTAGAGGCATAAAACAATTATAAATTCAATTTTACTATTATCAATAAATTTCCACTAAGTGAGTAAAAAGTGTAGAAATGTTTATTTAGAGGTCCAGGCACCCCTTGAAATGGATCATCGAAATTTCTGAACCTGCCGTTAACATTTCACCCCTACCAATCAAATTTAGCCGTTAAAGAGCCTTCTCTGTTCACCCTGAACCGACCACCGTCAGCTGATCCAAAGTAGACAAATAAATGTTGAAATTACATCACTGTTAGGTTTTCTCTTCAGGTTACTTAATTACATCGTGTTGTTTATAAAGTTACAGTTTTGCTAGGTCATGCTAACAAACGGCTTTTTCTGGCCTTACGAACTGAAGTTAGCTTACGATTCATTATTTCTGATTCTGCCGCTGTTCAAAGGGCTCTTACGCCGAACCGGAAGCTTCGAATCAGATGCCAACTTCAGAGTCTTACCACTTTAAAAATGTGCTACCTGATTTTTATTACAGCCTTTTTATGAGACGACTCATGGGAAACATTATATTTTTTACTGCTTTTACTACCACTACCAATAGGTCAGTGTTTAAGACGCTTACAGCCTAATTCTCCGTTTAAATCATTGGTTCATACCTTAACTGCAGGTGAGGAATAAAGTGCTAAATTTTGCTGCACCTCCCTCTTTATCACATAGTAAAGTGTTTATCCTTCATATATATTTTTAATTATGTCAATACTAAGATGGCTTATTGCATACAATTATAGTAGCCGAAAATGCTTACATTTACTACTAATTACTGATTTTCAAAAAGTTAACATTGAAATGCAGTTATTTTATGACTACACCACTGCAGTTAAAAAGATTGGATATTTAGGAAGTTGTAGCATAGCCTGAAAATATATAGTATTTGATATAAAACTGTTCCAAAGCCAGACTTGGTTAAAGACCTGTGAAGGAGATACCACCTTTTTTCCTGTACAGAGCAGGACATGTACAACGTTAATGTCAATTAAAGACATCATACAATGCATGTATACCATTTGATTGCACATGGTTCAGTGGATTCCTTATGATGACAAACTGCAAATATAATCCTACTTGACCCTTGTTGAAGTTCATAAAAGACTACTACAAGACAAACTGTTCACTACCTGTATAATGTGAAGTCAGTAAAAGTAATTTGCAGACAGCTTGCAGCTGCTGAAGTTACTTTTAGGCTATTGTCGCAAATTTGCCTCACGGTCGAGGATCATTTTATAAACACTGCTGCAATTTAGTGGCTGAAAATGTGCCAAATTATACCTAATTAATTTACCATGTTCTACTTAATTAGCATATCATTTGAATTCATACAAATACAATATATTTTCCTTATAATTGTAAATGAATTTGAGGAATAAAATAATGTGAACCATTGTGCTTTATAGAGGTGACAAAATGAAAACATACAATAAACTGTTTTTTAAAATAATGTGTTGCAACAAATTAAAAGCATTTAAATTTTTACTGAAAATGCCTTTTATTTGTGCAGTAATGAACCCAAAATGTCAAGGAAGTTAAACACAAGCACAAGATTGTTACATACTTTGGAGTAGGCCTGATCTCCTGTCCATTCTTGTACCACTTTAGATCCACTGTGGGGTCTGCCAGCTCAACTACCAAGCGGATCTTTCCGCCTTTATCCACCTGGTATGCTGGATCCAACTTCTTTGCAAAGGCTTAAAAATTACAGCAGTAATCAGTGAAATTCATTTTCAATTTATTTATATAAAATATTCAGAAACCCACCTACCTGCACTCTTCTTTTCCTCTTTGGGCATCTTTTTCATCCTTTTCAGGAGACCCCTGAGGTCGGTGATGCCGTACATGAAGGCGATTTTCTCATACTGGTCTGGCCTGGCGTTCTTCAGGATCTCCCACACGTCCACCTCTGGGGTGTCGTCTTGCTGTTTGTGCTCCCTAGTTTTGCCATGTACAAGGTAGAAATATGAATACACGCACCGTACGCTGGGCTTTGCAACATGTCCTGAGGAACTACTATTTACCTAAAAGAAAGGTAATAGGAGTTAATGTAATAATTTTACTGCTTAATTCTTATATTTCTTATCTATTCTTTTTCACGGGTTCCTCAGGACATGTCACCCAAAGGGATGGGCGTAATACATAATTCTCTTTGTGTTGACTTTGGTTCTGATCTCATTTGTTAATGATAAAAAGGTGGACAAAAAAACGGAAGGTTTTGTTTTAGGGAAGTAGAGAGTTAATAGGGTTTGGAGGAGTTTTCCATGGGTCTGTCCCTCAGGAGTCTACTTAATAAAACAGAACTTATAATTTTTCTGTTTTGGGACAAAATATTTATTTCCCATGCATCATCTGCTCCACAGGTTCAGGCCTTCTCCGTTTTTTGCTATTTTATTTCATTGTTGCGTGAAATAAAATACCAGCAGCACAAGCAAGCAATCTGAAAAACACAAGCATATTTTCTGGTTAAAATATCACTTTGTGGTTTCACGATGCTTTAAATTTAATACATTTTTATTTTAACAATAATAAAATACTTGAATTTATTAATTTTACAGCTGTAAATCTTTTGGGGATTAAAGGGAAATAATTAGATAAAACTATCACCTACCCCAAATAATTTTGCTGTAATCTAATATTCACAGTCAGGGCATCTTATTTCTTAACATTTGGCATTGTCTTGCTGAAATGAGCAAGACCTACACCAAAAAAAAAAAAAAAACACTGTGTATGATGTAAGAAACTTTCATTTCAACATATTTTCCTTGCTTTGTTATTTTATCAGTTCAAGCTCTCCAATACACTGATGAGATAACCACTGGCTCAATAAGCAATGTCTCTCAGTCTTATAAAATAATCTTTTTGTAATTACTCTAATCTTTGAGAATTGCATTTGTTGGATGAACGAAGGGATGGAGGGTAAATATTAAAGGTATGTTAAAGAGGAATTCTGGTGTATAGTTTAAAATATGGGTGGAAGAAATATAAAGGGAAAATTACACATGGTCCATCAGAGATGAATGAAGTTTTTAATGGGGAAATCTTTAGCAACATGAGGAATCGAACCCTACGAGGATAAATGTGTTTAATTACATGCGGCATGCAGGAATTTAAGAACTGCTCCTGGAAACAGCCCATCCCTTTGTTATTCTCCATTTTGAGTGATCACTTCAGAAATGCTCTTACGTCGTTAAATGTTGCGTTTTTCCTTACGACGGGAGATGAGTGTACATATTAGATCAAACAAAGAACCATCAGTCAGACCTTTCTTTCTATGACATTTCCCCAAATGTCGGAAAGGTTGAATTTAAGAAGAAAAAAGCATAAATTACTATTCTATTATTTCTTGCTTTTGTCATCTGTTTATTTGCAGTCAGTTATAAAGAAAACTGAAATAAACATGATGGTATTACCTTACATTTCTAAACTGAAACAGATGTGTAGTGATAACACTATTTTACAGCATCATTTCTCACTGGCCCACATCAGTAATGATCCAAAATGGCGCTCTTTGCTTCATACAGTGAGTTGATGCAAGGCCCATCTCTATCATTACAGGTAGAAATGCTGCTTTCAAAATAAAGTGTTACCATGCTACAGGAGGCCAACACTCTTGCTCGTCCAATTCCTGGAGCTACATGTCATGCTGGGGAATCTACAGGATTACAGTACTCACCTGCAGTAAGGTCTAATTGTTTTAATACCAATATCTTTCACCTTACTAACCTTTGATTTCTGAATATGTAGGGGAGAAGAAGAGACAGGCCCAAAATAAATGTGTATTTTAGCTCATGAACAGTGATACTGTGCTCATAATTTTAATCCTGCACAGTATCTCAACTATGCAACATGAGGTTTATTGTGAGCCGCAACAGTAAGTTGGCTATCGAGCTTCATCACATCTATTTAAGTCAAATCTTACCTTGATGATATGATGGAGCTTTTTTTAAGATCTGAATAATTTCGTTTTATTTAAAGGTGCAGTGTGTGTGTTTGTTTTAAACTTCCAATGAAGACAAATAGTCACAGTTGTACAAAATGTGAGGAAACAAAACCTAGTTCGGCTTAAAAAAAAATCAATCTTTGTTTTTTAGCAAACCTGGTAACCAGATAAATTTCATCCTGTAAATAACATTTACTGCTTTAGAAATTTTTGTTTACTTAAACCAGGGTCTTCTACTGGAAACACTTCTGCTTTTGACCTGAATTATTTTCTTTGCAAAGTGAAGGTTTTTGTAATTTACTAAAGGTTCAGACCATGTACACAATTTCCAAAACGGCAACTACATCCTCTGTGGGCACATCAATAAACCGAGTTAAATGAAATACATTTAATTTATAATGGAGCCTTTTAAAAATGGTTAGCTATTTACTAGTTTTGTATTGCTAATGGACAGAAAAGCACTTAATTCTGCGATTGTTGCAGAATTAATTCACATAATAAAAGACCAGAAGCAGAGCTACAGCATGTTTGGTGTTATGCTAGCAAGTTGGATTTTTTCCCCTCCTTTTTAGCTTTTCAGTTGATTTTACTGTCAAAATAGAGATTATAATTTGTACCAAGATTTTTTACTTAAACAGCTTTTACACATTGCACCTTTAAAACACACGTTACTGTATGATTAACTTGTTTTGTTTGTGTACATTTTTAAAAATAAATTCATATAATTCATTTCTTCTGTCAAATTGCTTTAGCAAACAATTATCTACATTTTTGACACATTTTGATTAAATATAACTCCCTGACAGAGGAGATATAAAAACAATTTTTTTGTGCTATGAAATTTAGAACAGTGTAATTCTCAATCTCTTCATCTAACACTGGTAATGATTAGTTTAAGTTTTAAAAAACTCCTAATTTAACCTCCTGCTTATACAAAAGCCTCATACAATATTTACAAAACATGTGAAATGAAAGAAAAAGAAGCACATCCCAAAAAAAAAATGTGAAAAGGACAAACTCAGGGTCAGGATGTGTTTCTCACCTATGTTTAAGGAGACCACTAAAGTCAAGCTCTCCTGCATCTTCTTGTCCTTCACTGCTGTTGTTAACAAGGAGAAATTATTGAACATTAAATTAGACTTGCAGTTGTTACCAACACTAGAAAACAATGCTATAAGAGCAACACAAAGCAAAAGCTCTGTTGATCAGTGAGTTAGCGTCGAGTTAACTCATGATTTGTGCTTACAGAGAAACCTTTATTTGGTCTTTGTGTGGATAAAAACTCAAAATAAGGTTGTTTGTGTAGCACTCATCGAGAACAGTCCCAGCCAGAATTGCCACAATGTTTCTGAAATGTTGAAGCAACATTACTGAATAGCAGCATTGTGGAAATGCAGTGGATCTGGGATGCTTTGCATTGCTCTGCATTGTTCAAATCGAGATTTAAAGTGCAAGAGTTGGCCTTTAATTACACATTCAATCAAGTAATTGACTTGTAATTACCTGGAGGAAAGGTTAATGACATTACCAATATCTTGTAGAACTTGTATTTAGTTGTATTACCCGATGGAGAAATGTTCACCATTGCTTCACAATGTAAAATAATTTTTTTTACTTTTGAATTCCAGTATACTGAGGAATTTAGAGATTTTATTAAATCATGAAATATCTTAAAACAATTTGCCACTATACATATAATGGTTCTTTCTGATGTCTCACAGGTTTTTTATTACCTTCTTTTGAATGCTGATCGAATATCAATAGCCTGTGAGCTTTCAACTTCTGTAAAACAGAAGAAACATGCATATAATTGCTTGATTATTTCCACTAGGAATTTATGTGATCAGTTTTAAATTTTTTTATTGTTGTGACCAACCTTTAACTTCCAAATCAAAGGAACAGCTGTCAAACTTGTCCTTGTAGGTCACCTCACACCTGTAGTTTCCAGCATAGTTGTCTTTGGCCTTGATGATGTGCATCTCAAAGGTGTGGATCTGCCAACAGGACGATGTACCAGAGTTTATTAACAGCACCGTTATTAGAGAACTTGGATGCATGAGTATGGGTATGTTACCTTGGTTTGCCGCTCAAATGTCTCCTTAAGTTGCAGGTGTTTCCCTGTCTTGCTGGCCAGGTCCATCCATTTCCCTTTAAACCATTTAACAGTCGGTTTGCGGAGAAGATCTTTAGCTTCCACCTTGGCAACAAAAGTGATGTCACCCCCTGAAACAAATTAAAAGGAAATTGACTATTTCTAAAGATTGATCGAGTGAATGATGCGTTGTTTTGTACTCTAAAGACCGACCTAGGAATTTGCTTTCATCTCCAACCCTTTCCTTGCTGATTTTTAGTCTGTTTTTAATTTAATCCACAATATGATATTTAAGTGGCTTCTTTGCAGAAACTGCATAGAGGTGTATACGCCACTTCCTGGTCTGGATCATTTGTTGTTGCTGTTTTAAAGGATTAGTAAATTCATCCAACTTCATAGAAACAAGAGTTCACTTTAATCGAACAAAGCCTTAGGTTTTAGGTTCAGTCGAGTTAAAAACGAAACAGACGTTCAATTACAGTTTGATTAAAGTGGCCTAAACAGGACTGGTGTTAATATGTCTTGAAAATCTGCCTAATTTCTTGCCCCCATCCTCAGAATCATACGATTACATCTGGGAATTCCTTGTGTAAACCCACAATGTAACACCTATTGAACTCCATCGGTGCTGTCCAATTCATCTCCTTTGTTTTGTATTTCTTGTTAAGAATTACAGTCGGGGATTTTTTTAACACTCACCCACAGTGACAGTTCCACTCTGTGGCCTCTCGATCAGCAGCGTAGACAGCGGTGGATTGTCGATTGGTTTGTCCACATCCTCTGGGGCCTGACCCTCTCCCAGAGACCACACTGACCAATAAGGAAAAACAAATTCATAACTCAGAACTGTTCTGTTCCTTCATACAATACCCACCTGTCGTTTGTGACAGCTTTGTATGAACAGTCTTACAAGTATAAAAGAA